CTAATATCACATCGATCGGTTAAAGCAACATTTCCATAAAGGGTTACATCAACTGCTTCCTTTAGTTGAAAATATAACCCTTCTTGAATGGGTTAAGTGACTTAAAAGCTTTTTAGCGCCTCATAGAGACTTTGGTCAATTCAAATTTGTCTTATTTGGCTGAACATTTCGGGAAATGAAGCGTCAGAGATTTCAGGTATTAACTTGCTGTAAGGAGTTACTGACAGGAGCTTAGATGATCAGTTTCCTCATTTATGTTTTTTTGCTCCTTGTCATAATTACAGTCTTTCCGCAACTTATGTCATTGGTCACTCAAACTAATCTTAAAAGTTGGAATTCTAATTCCTAATATCGTCGGTCAAAACGACCTCTCAGTTAAGGTTACTTTAACTGTTTCATTTAGTTAAAATTTTCGCCTTTTTAGAATGGTCAAAACGACTATTAAAATTAGTTACGACTATTTTAAATAGTTAGTTTAACTAGTCAGTTTTTACAGTGAAGCCCTCGTCATCTTTGAATTCTTCCCACCCTTCTTCATCAAGTAAGAGTTTGACGAAGCCTTCGCTTTTGTCGCATGGACGAAATAATGGTTTATCGGTGAGTGAGTCAATTCTTATCATGAAGTCGAATTCATCTGGCCGGCAAACCTTCGCTCCTTCGTAAACACTTCCGCTCTTAATAAGAGTGCTTTGAAATCGATTGTCTCGCTTTTCCACCTAGGCTAGAATGTTGGTCACGAATTGCTCGAGTTTCTCACAAATCAATTCGGCTTCACTTTCGTCTTCAAACCTTGCTTTTTCCTCAAAACGTTCCACCATTTCAGCCATGACGATGTAGGTTGACTACTACAATTGACTTTCCCAGAAACCGGCTTTGCATCACGAGAGATTTGTGAATATTGGACCGTTGTTGAGATACTTAGCATAATATGTCAACTTCTTCTGTTTCTTGGAATACAATTATCCGCAAAAGAAATCCTTTCTTTGTTCCAACACTGACATCAAACAGGAACTTTCATTGTAAGTTGATAGACTTTTCCAAAGGAATACATTCATACACTTGTACTAATTTCATTCTAGAAGTGTGGGATATGGTGTCCAACTCGTGATCAAATCAATCGATCTCTTCAGTTTGATACAAAACACTTCTCTACCAGACGTAAACAGAAACATGCAAATTATTCGCTGACGGTCAATCAAGCAGGGACTTAAACGTCTTGATAGAAGGTCTTTTTGCCGTACTGTCAGTCAAATGGCTTCATCAACCCCCAATTTGGGTTGATTCCTTTGCTTGAAAAGCTAACTAAAAAAGATCTGGAAAGACACAACAAACAGGAACTGTTTTCTGTTGATGATGGCGGCGTTTAAGACATCATTTTGGTTACACTTCATGATGACTAGACTTCGGGTTTATTTGTGGTATTGCTCCTAGTTGTGAAGTGATGGAAAAAAGAATTTATGATGACAGAACTTATGGTGTTCCACTTCAATTCCTTGGAACGTTTTAATGGAAATTTTAAAAGGTTACTTTGCTTCAGTGCATAATTTGCATGTCCTTTATCATAACTCTTCCTAGCTATAATGGCTTCATAACTCTTCCCAGCTATAATACTGGAAATGCCCAAACCTAAAACTACAACTTTTGGTCTCCACTCCTTTACTTATCTGGCAACAAAAAAATGGAATTCTCTACCCAATTTCATAAGGTTATGTAACTTCTCAGACTTCAAAAAGCACATCAGTAAAACCAATTCATAAAACATGTAAATGACAATTTTATAATTAGTTAACATAAGT